GCAGCAGCAGCAGCAGCAGCAGCGGCAGCCCTCAGAAGCGGCACCTGCAGCAGCAGCACGTGAACACCGCTGCCTGCCGCCCTGACGGCTCTGTTTGGTGCTTCTGCTGTTGCTGCTTCTGCTGTTGCTGCTGCTGCTGCAGTGTGTGAACCGCATGGACCCTCCGAGTTGCTTCTCCCCTTGCGGGGCAGCAGCAGCAGCAACAGCAGCAGCAGCAGCAGACTCCTGGGCCAGGCGGCTGCTGCCGCTGTCGAGAGCCACCCAGGTAGTCGTTTGCTCTCGCGAGCTGTTTATAGCAGATGCGCGCACTCCCCAGCTGATCCGAACGGCGCCGCTGCAGCAGCAGCTGCAGCAGCTGCAGCAGCAGCAGCAGCAGCAGCAAGACGACGACCTGGTGGTTGCCGCTGATATCATCGGTACGCACCGCACTACGCTGTATTTTGCTGTGCTGCTACTGCTGTTGTATTGTTGCTGTGCTGCTACTGCTGCGTTTGCTGTGCTGCTGCTCTGCTGCTGTGGCTGCTGTGCTGCTGCTGCTGCTCGTGCTTTGGGTGGATTAGCCTGCTGCTGCTGATGCTGCAGTGTGGCTGCCAACGTTTGCTGTTTTTTCGCGCTGTGTGCTGCTGCTGTGTGGAGCTGCGCTTGCGCGGGCGTCTGCTGCAGTGCTGCTGCTGCAGTGGTGCCGCCGCAGCGCTGCTGCTGCAGTGCTGCTCCTGCAATGGCGCTGCTGCTGGTGCTCCTGCTGCTACTGGTGCTGCAGGGCAAACGCTTGCGGGCTTGTCGGAAAAGGGCTCCGTGCTGCTGCTGGACCTTCGCCAGCCCTCTTTGCTGCAGCGGCTAGCAGCGCCGCCGCTGCAGCAGCTCAAAACAGCAAGGGCCCCCGACAGCAGCACGGCTTCTTTCTACTACGTGCCGGGGCCCTACAGCGCAGTGTCGCCCACTGTAGTCATGCTTCGAAAGTACAGCAGCAGAAGCAGCAGCAGCAGCAACGCCGACAGCAGCAGTCCCGCCACGTGCAGCACGAGAGACACAGGGCGAGACACGGCGTCGTCCCCTCCTGTGTCTTCCCGGGGCTCTTCTTTTGAGCCCGGCACAGCAGCAGCAGAAGCAACAGCAGCAGCAGCAGCAGCACCTGCCGCTACATCTGTCAATGCAGGCAGAGTCGTAGCTGCTGCAGCGGCGTGCAGCTTGCAGCAGCAGGCTTGGGGCGGCGCCGACGACTCGGCGCAGCAGCTGCATCAGCAGGAGCAGCTGCTGCTGCAGCAGCAGCAGCAAACCATTGCTGCGCAGAGAGGCATTTGTGTCTCTTCCGCTGGCATCAAAAGCATTCAAAAACCAAGCAGGGAAATTGGCGCCGAGGCAGACGTAGCCGGTGTCGTTCACAGCTGGTAAGCAGCAGCAGCAGCAGCAGCAGCAGCAACAGCAGCAGCAGCAGTCTGTGCAGGCTTGCGCCCATCTGCGTGTGTGCCCGGCTGTTCACATCCATATTACTCAAATAAAAGTAAAGGTGAAAATGCATTAAAAGTGAAATTGCTCATTTGGTTTGCATGCATTTGCATGCACAGACCTTCAGGTCTGTGCACCTTCAGGTGTACAGACATGAGCGCCTCTAGTGCGTCTTTGCCAGGAGCAGCAGACGCGCAGCAGAAGCAAATTGCTGTAGGTGCTTTGGCTTTCTTTTGCGGCTTCTTCAGCTCTCGTTGCTGCTTCTGCTGCTGCTGCTGCTGTTGCTGCAGGCACTGGGGGGCCTCCCGTCCGTGGCTGTCGTGGGCAGCAGAAGCAGCAGACTCTCTCGGGCCCTCGTACTCTCAGTATGGTGCGTTTTGCTGCTGCTGTTGCTGCTGCTGCGGTTGCTTGCGTGTGGATTTCTGCTGCTGCTGCGCGCGTCACTGCTGCCGCTTTTTTCCCTGCTGCTGCTGCTGCTGATCCCTTTTGCTGCTCGCTGAGCCGCCGCTCTGCGCTTGGCTGTGGACTGCGGCGCAGCAGCGAAATGTGTTCTTGCTGCTGCTCCCGTGTAAACAGTGGCAGCACAAGCAGCAACAACAGCAGCTGCTACTCTTTTCGCACCGCTGCTACAGCTGTTGCTGCTCTTCTACGTCTGCCGCAGCGAGGAGCAACAGCTGCTGCTCTCTACTGCTGCATGCAATGCGTCTTCGTTGAGCGGCAGTGCTCCAGCATTGTCAGTCAAACCTGAGGTGTATGTACACCCCGTGGCTGCTGCCTCTTTTCTGCCTCTACAGGCCACAGCAGCAAACACATCTTACGGTCCTGCTGCAGCAGCTGCTTCTGCTGCCGCGCCCGCTGCTGTAGCGGCTGCCGCTAGTGCTGCTTTTCCGCAGCTTCAGAAGTTTCGGCTTTGCTGCAGCCTCAGCGCCAGCGCAGGCGCCTACATAGGGCACTTGTCGAAGCGGTTGAGGAAGCAGCAGCAGCAAATGGAGCTGCTGCTGCTGTTGTTGTAGCAGTTGTTGCTGCTGCTGCTTAGCAGAGACTGTGCAATCGTAGCCAAAGCCTCTCCACGGCCTTCAGCGTCTCGTGCACTTCCTTCGGCCGACACACAAATACATGCGCAAGCAGCAGCAACAGCTTCGGCAGCAGCGGCAGCAGCAACGGAAGCAGCAGCAGCCTCAGTAACAGCAACTGCAGCAGCAGGGGGAGGTCACCTGGAGCAGCAAAGCACTGACTCGGGCGCCCCACGCCGTCTGTTCGCGTTGGCAGTCCAGGGCTTTCTGAAGAGTTCGCAACAGCAGCAGCAGCAGCAGAAGTACCCAGCTGCAGCAGCAGCAGCACCCACCACCAGCAGGAGCAGCTGCAGCCAGCAAAAATAGCGCCAGCAGCAGCTGCTCCCAGCAGCAGCAGTTGTGGCTAGCCGCAATTCAGATGCTCATCGCAAGAGAAACGCAGCTTTCAGTAGCAGAGAACGCAGCAGCAAGTGTAGCAGCAGCCAGCAGCAAGTGCAGCAGAAAGTGCAGCAGCAACTGATGCAGCAGCTGCATCAGTTGTTGCTGCACTGATGCAGCAGCTGCGGCAGCAACTGCAGCAGCAACTGCAGCACGAACCTGCAGCGCATCTCCAGATCGCTTCAGCAGCTGCCACAGCTGAGACACCGGGTGCAGCCTCAAGGTGCCCTGAGGTGTATCTTCAGCCTGAGACGCAGAAGCAGCAGGGGAGCGCAGCTGCAGCGCGCAGCAGCAAAAGCAGCATAAGCGGCAGCATCAGCAGCAGCAGGCCACGTTACCTCGCGAAGTTCTGTGTGTAGGTGCTCGTGCTCCGGGCACAGCGCTACCAGCGTTTCCCTGCGGCCCTGCAGCAGCTTCTCTGACTGGGCTGAAGCAAAAACAGCAGCAGCAGCAGCAGCAGCAGCAGCAAAAGCAATATGGGAAGCAGGTAACAAGCCGACGTTGCAGCAGCAGCAAGAAACTCATGGCTCAAGGCTCACAGCAAACGGGTGCATCATCAAGCAACCCTAGAAGCAACAACCCTACAGCAGCAGCAGCAGCAGCAGCAGCAGCAGCTCACTGCACAGATCCGGCCCGCATGCAAAAAGCCGGCAGCAAACTGGGTGTATCTTGTTGCTGCAGCCAGCAGCAACACACTGCAGCAGCGCGCCTCCAGTCCAGCAGCAAAGTGCGCAGCGGCCCTCAAACCTCTCATCGCTCACGCCACCACAGCCGGCAACCCGCAATCTCCCGCTGCTGCTGCTGCTGCTGCTGCTGCCAGCGCACGGGCTGTGACAGGCAGGTGCGCGGCCGCCGGAGCTGCCGAGGAAAGGCGAAGGGGCAGGAACTCCGCTGTTGCTGCTGTTGCTGCTGTTGCTGCTGTGTTTGCCCCGATCTTGTGGGTGGTCTTCGGCTGCCCGCGGAGAGGTGCCGCCAGCAGCAGCAGCAGAAGCAGCAGCAGCAGCAGCAGCAGCAGACTTCGCAGTGGGGCTCAGAGGGGACACTGGTACTGCTGCGGCTGCTGCTGCAGGAACTGTTTCCACCTCCGGAAGCCACAGCGCGCACGACGCATGCACCCAAGGCCCTGCAGCAGCAGCAGCAGCAGCAGAGGCAGCAACAGCATGGAAATGGTACCAGCAGCAGGCCAAAAAAAAGTGCCAGCAGCAGCAACAGCAGCCTAAACGGCAACAAAAAGACGCATTGCGATAGCGCTTAAAATGGACCCAAGACACAACTGCAGCCATAGCTGGGACGCCGCTGGGCTATTGAAGCAGCAGCAGCAGCAGCGGCAACAGCAGCAGCTGCAACAGCTGACCTTCTAAAGCTCTGATTAGGGCTCCAGACCGTCTGGGGCACAGGCAGCACCAACGAGGGAAGAGAACCTGGGCATCCTCTTGTGCGTGGGGGTTCTTGCTGCTGCTGCTGTTGCTGCTGCTGCTGCTGCTGCTGTTCCTGCTGCGTCTGCTGCTGCGCTTGATGCTGCTGCTTGCGTTGGCGATGGTCTCGCCTCCAGCGCAGTTGTCTTCCGCTGAAGGCCCCGCAGGAGCACTTGCTGTTGCCTCTGCTGCTGCGTCTGCTGCTGCTTCTGCTGCTGCTGCTGCAGCTGCTGCTGCTTCCTGCTCAAGCGCGTCCAGGCAGAAGTCACAATACCAGTCCCCTGCAGCGCAGCAGCAGCAGCAGCAGAAGCGAAGCTGGCGACAGCCGCAGCAATAGCACTGTAGCAAGCGCTGCTGGCACAGGTGCAGCAGCGGCAGCAGCAGCAACAGCAGCAGCAACTGCAGCACAAGCTAGCTCTGCAACAAAGGCTGTTTCGTTGTTGCAGCAAAAATACTTTCAGCAGCAGTAACAGTAGTAGCAGCAAGCAAAGGCCCGACTACAGCAGCAGCAATAACAAGCCACAGGCCAATTAGAGCAGCAAAAGTCACCAGCGAAAAACCAACTACGGCAGCAACAGCAGCAGCAGCAGCAGCAGCAGAATAGACCTGGGGGCACCGAGTCGAGCCCGTAGCAGTGAAGGTGGACAGGCACATCGCAAGCATCGCAAAATAAGATTGCGTTTTCCTGAGCCCAACAGACCCAAACCCTAAACCCTAAACCCTAAACCCTCAATCTTCTGCCGTGGCAGCAGTTGAATAGCTGTTGCTGCGCCCATCCTAAACCTTAATCTGTAAACCCTAAGTTCATGGGCCTAACCCTCCCTCCTGTGTCTCAGTACCCAGTTGAGAGGGTTTAAACCCGAAGCCCTAAACCCTAAACCCTAAACCCTCACTTCTGTTGACTCCGCGCCCCCGCAGACGTCGCACTTGCCAGGGGCCTCCGCGAGTTCTTCAGCGATGCGGCACCAAAAGAGTTGAGCAGCAGCAACTCGCTGCTGCACTTTTGTGCTCCGCTGCTCTGCTGCTGCTGCTGCTGTTGCTGCTGCTGCTGAGGTGCTATGAGGTGAGACAGACCCAACGTCTGCTGCGGGAGAAGGGCGAAGACCCCCTTGAGACGGCGAGCGCTTAACTAAGCTGCTGCGGCTGCTGCTGCTGTTGCGTCCGCCGCGGCGTCGGACGTCTCTGCGGCTGCTGCTGCTGCTACTGCTGCGCCGGCTGCTGCGGGGAAGGTATGCAGCTGGAGATTTTCGTGAGTTGCCGCCGCGCGTCTGCATGCGGGGACTTGACTTTGCTGTTGCTGCTCGAGCAGCATCTGCAGGCTCTTCCTCCGCAGCAGCATTGGAGGGCGCAGCAGCAGCAGCGGGATCAACAGCAGCAGGCGATCCTGCAGCAGCCGCTGCCGAAGGTGCTGCTGCTTGCCACGCATGATTTGATTCTTCCATATCGGGCACTGCAAACGGCTCTTAGGCGCGTTTGCAGCTTGCTAGAGCCGCTACTGGAGTGGCAGCAGCAGCAGTAGCTGCTGCTGCTGCTGCTGGCTCGGAGGCTGGCGTGAGAGCAGTAGCAGCAGCAGCTGCCACAGCCTCCGCCGGCCTTCCTGCTGCAGCCTAACTGACACAAAAGCTTATTCTAACACTCTTTTTGCTTCTTTTCAGCTCCAGAGAGCCGCTCAAGCGAAAACACGGAGAGCCCGGGGCCCCAACGGGGGCCCCCGCAGCATCGACGGGGGCCCCGGGGGTCGGCGCTGCACCCGTGCTGCCCAGGGCAGTTCTTTGGGGATTTTTGGCTACAGAAAAAGTTGGCATGAGTTACCTGTGCTGTTTCTGTTGCTGCTGTTGCTGCTGTTGGTTCTGCTGCGGCCCTGTGCCGCTGCTGGTGCTGCTCCTACGGTCGTCCGTGGACCTGGTTACTGCCAGACACCAAGCCTTCGTAGTAATGGGCTTTGCCTGGATGAAGAAGCAGGTAGAAGGATTGAATTTTAGGCCCCAGGGTTTAGGGTTTAGGGTTTAGGGTTTGCGCTACGGCGCCGTGGGACACCAGGTAGCGCCGATGGGAGGCTCGAAGGCAGCAGCAACAGCAGCCCACACGCAAACAGGACTGACGGCAAAAGCCACAGCGGCATCAACAGCTGCAGTAGCTGCAGCAGCAGCAACTACAGCAGCAGTAGGGGCTACCACAGCAGCAGCAGTGCAGGCAACAGCAGCAACAGATGAAACCACAACGAAAACCACAGCAGCGCGCGATGAGGTGGAGAAGACATCCACCGGCGCAGGCTGCCGTGTGCTTCAGGCGCTGCAGCAGCTACAGCAGCAGCAGCTGCTGCTGCTGCAACAAGCTGCAGCGCAGCCTTTGTGCAGCAGCAGCAGCAACAGCAGCAGCAGCAGCACTGACCAGATAGCACAGTTATACACGCTGCTCAGCCACGCTGTAGATCGACTTGACGAAGAAGTACTGATGAAAACAGCAGCAGCAACAGCAGCAGCAGCGGCTGCAGAACCAGCAGCAGGCGCAGCAGCATCAGCGGCTGCCGAAAGAGTAGTAGCAGCAGCAGTTGCAGCATCAGCAGCAGCAACACCCCTAGAGACAGTGGCGGGCTCCGCTGCCCAGGTGAAGTTGCAGCTTCCGCGGTGCACAATGGTGTGCAGCAGCAGCAGCAGCAAAAGCAGTGCCAGCAGCAGCAGTTCTGGTGGTTGTTCCTCGTGTGAGCTGATATATCTTTACTTTCAAGTCGATCAGCTGCTGCAGCGCTGTGATGCCGCTGCTGTTGCTGCCGCTGCTGCTGCGAGTAAGCAGCTCCGCAGAGCCAAAACAGCAGCAGCAGCAGCAGGATCGGAGGGGCAGCAGCGGCAGCAGCTCTGCCTAGGTGGCCAAGCATTGCTCTTGAGCCTTACTGAAAATCTGTTACTTCCATTTATGCATGCATGTGAGCAGCAGCGACGGCTGCAGCATCAGCAGCAGCTGCTGCAGCATGTGTATGTGCTGCGGCTGGCTGGTGTTGCAGATCTGTCGCCTCCGCAGTGGCAGCAGCTGCAGCGAGTGCTATCTATTTTGCATGCCGAATTGCTGCAGGCAGCAGCAGCAGCAACTGCAGCAGCAGGAGAAGCAACTACAGCAGCGGGAGAACCAGCTGCAGCAGCAGGAGAAGCAACTGCAGCAGGAGCAGAAGAAACTGCAGCGGCAGCAGCTGCTGCTGCACCAGCAGCAGAAGCAACTGCAGCAGCAGACACCACGCAGCAAAGCTGCACGTGCCCGCCCTCAGTTGTTATTGAGGTAAACTGCTCGGCAGCAGCAGCAACAACCGACGCAGCTGCAGCAGCAGAAACACAGCAACTACTGCGCAGTGTCGAGGAGTTCGTACAAATGCTGCAGCAGCAGCAACAACAGCGCGTTCAGGTGCAACTGTATCAGATAAGCTGTGTACAGCAGCAGCAGCAAGAAGCTTTGCTGAAGCAGCAGCAGCAGCAGCAGCAGCAGCCTCGCTGTCTGCTGTACATAGGCGGCGACGTGCTGCTGCCTGCCGCTGCTCCAGGGCCGCTGGGCAGCAGCAACAAAGTGCTGCGGCTGCTGCAGCAGTTGCGCGAGCGTTTGCTGCTGCCGATGCAAATGCGCATAAGATACTTCACCCGACGTAACAGTAGCAGCAACACGAGCAGCAGCAGCAGCACAGCACTTATGGAGACTCTGTTCTGCGGCAAGCAAGGAGAGGTCCCCGCCCCACGGTTGTTGCTGTACGGCTACGGCCGTGCTGCTGCTCCTCGCGCTGCTGCAGCTGCAGTTGCTGTTGCGGACGAGCAGCAGCAGCAGCACGAGGACGATGCGCTCTTTCGCATCAGCCCGCAGCAGCTGCTGCAGCACCTTCTGTGTCTGCCAGAGGCGTTGGGACTGCAGCTGCTGGTGGTGCCTCTTGCTGCTGTTGCTGCTCCTTATGTGGGCGAGTCTGAACAGCGGCTGGCGCAGCTGTTTGCTGCTGCTGCAGCTGCTGCTCCTTGCGTGCTGCTGCTGCAGGGCCTGGAGAGAGCGGCAGCAAACAGATCTATACTGTCCCCGCTACCCGGCCTACAAATTGACAGCAGCAGCAGCAGCAGCAGCAACAGCAGAGAGGGTGCGCAGAAGCAGCAGCTAGGAGCAGCAAAAGCCAGCAGGCTTCAAGGCAGCAGCAGCAGCAGCAACAGTCAGCGGCGACTGCTTGCTGCGCTGCTGCTCGGCCTCGATGACCTGGAGGAGAAGCGGCGCTTGCTGCAGCAGCAGCAGCTGCAGGAAGATTCAGGGGATTGCAGCAGCAAACAGCAGCAGCAGCAGCAAGCCGCTGTGATTCTCCCACGGCTAGGAAGCAAAGAAGACCAGAAGGCGTGGCAGCTGCAGCAAAATCCAGCAGCAGCAGCAGGTGTTGCTGTTGTTGCAGCAACACACATGCTGCCGGAGGAGCTTGACTCTGCTGCTGTGCGTGCCGGCAGACTCGACAGCTGGCTACCATGGGCATAGCTTGTTGCTGTTGCTGCGGCTGCTGCTGCTGTTGCAGCCTAATTAGGTCAAGAGCAGCTTGGATGTTGGCGCAGCAGCAGCAGGCAGCAGTCGATGCGTGGCTCCGTTGCGGTAGCCTGCTGCTGCAGCAACAGCAGGGGCCTTTTGCTGTAGTTAGAGCTGCTTCCTTCTTTGCTGTCGCTGTGCTGCAGCGCCGCAACTGCTGCAGCAGACCAGCAGCAGCAGCACAGGGATTTGGCTGCTTGCCGACACCCCGTGCTTCCAACTCAATTGTTTTGAAATACTGTAGCACTTCGTTTTGCAGTGCACCTCTGGCAGCAGCAGCAGCTGCTGCTGCTGCTGCTGTTGCGGCTTCTAAAAACGACCGCCAAATAGTGGCTAGTCAGATGCTTACGCACCCAGCAAGAACAGTGCCGCTGCAGCGAGCGCAGCATCAGCGGCTGCTGCAGCAGCAGTTGCAGCCGCTGCTGCGGCTGCTGCTGGTGCTCCAGCTGCTAGTATGTCAATGGTCTGCTGCTGCTGTTGCTGGAGCTGCTAGCGCCTCTCAGTCGATGGACGCATCTGCCCAGGCCTCCGCCTGTTGCATGCACTGCTGCAGCAGCTCTCTGGCTTCTACAACAGCAGCGCGGCAGCTTGCAGCTGCTGCTGTTTGGTGGGGGTCAAGCGCAACAGCAGCGTGGTGCTGCAGGCGCTGCAGCTGCTGCAGCAGCTGCTGCTGCTGCGGCGAGGATAAGAAGGGGGCCCCTGAAAAGGCCTGCAGCTGCGCCAGCGACGCTTTGGCTGCTGTCTGCAGCAGCTCGTGCGGCTGCTGCTGCCTCCTCTTGTGTTTCTTCTTGGTGCCCTCATCGTCGCTGAAGATGCTGTCCTCCTGCTGCTGCTGCTGCTGTTGCTGCGGCTCCTGCAGCGGCGGCAGCGGCGGCACTGACACCGTCAGCTGCAGCGGCAGCCAGCTAATCAAAGACATGTGCTTCCGCCTGCTTTGCACTTGAATGCCCACCCAGTATCTTTGCTGCTTCTCGAGGGCCAGCGGCTGCACTGCTGCAACGTCTAGGTAGATTTCGCTGCTGCTGCTGCGTCCTGCTGCTGCAGCGTCGTCGCCTGCTGCAGCCAGCAGCACATCTTGCTGCAGCACGCAGCTCAGGCTGCCAGCAGCAGGCTGCAGCGCCACGGGGGGCCCTCCCCGTACCGGGCGGTGTACGTACACCCAGACCTTTGTGATGCAGCGAAAGGCAGCAGCAGCTGCTGCTGCTGCGTCGCCGCTGTCTGCAGCAGCAGCAGCAGCAGACGCAGCATACACATACACCCGAAACGCCCCTGTCGCCCGCCGCCGCGGGAGAGGCTCCACTGCAGCGTCAGGCATGTACAAGCTAGTTGGCACTTGCGTGCCGCTGCTGCTGTTGCTGCTGCTGCTGCTGCTGTTGCTGCTGTTGCTGCTGCTGCTACTGCTGCCATTGCCGCTGTTGCCGTTGGCGCCGCCCCCGCTGAGCGGAGACGTGCTGCTTGCTGCTGCTGCCCCTGCTGCAGCAGCTGTAGCAGCAGGCGCAGCTGCTGCTGCTGCTGCTGCTTCTGGTGTCGGAGGCAGGGGCGGCACAGCCCACGTGATGTCCATAGCACGGGCCCGCAGCAGCCGCAGCGCCTCTGCGCAAGCTTCTTCGTACTGCAGCAGCAGCAGCAACAGCAACAGCAAAGGCAGCAGCTGCAGCAGCAGCCAATGGAGCAAAGGCAACAGCAGCAGCAGCAAAACAGCATCAGCAGCCACTGATGTTGCGGCAAGCCGTCGAGCATCAGCAACTCATTGCCAGCAGCACGAACACCCTGTACGCGTCAACGTCAACAGCGGCAGCAGCTGCTGTAGCAGCTGCTGCTCTGCTGCTGCTGCTGCTGCAGGTACTGCGTACTGCTTTGAAAGCTTCCGTGGCTTGCTGTTGCATTTCGGCCTCCTGAGAGTGGAACTTGTCGGGGTGCAGCAGCGCCCGCCACTTCTTCCTTGCTGCTACAATCTGCAGCAGCAGCAGCAGCAGCAGAACCGGCAGCGCTTCAGAAGCCCGAAGATCTAGAAAGACTTTTAGGAGCTACTGAGGGGTAACTCGCCATCCTATCGCACGCCGCGGCTGCTGCTGCCTCTCTGCCTGCTCTTACTGCTGCTGCTGCTGCTGGGGGTGCTGCTGCTCTGCCTCCTCTTACTGCTGCTGCTGCTGCTGTTCTGTCAACCCGTGCTGCTGTTGCTGCGGTGCTGCACTTACATGCTTCTCCGTCGCGGTGTGCGGGTTTATGCCCAGAACGTAGAAGGGGTGGCCCAAGGATCTGCTGCGGGCGACAGCAGCAGTTGCTGCAGGAGTGCCGAAGTTTGCTGCTGCTGCTGCTGCTGCAGCTTGCTGCTGCTCCTGCTGCCGCTGCAGCACGAAGGCCACACATGCTCTGGAAAAGGCGCTGCGCCGCAGGATCTCCTCTTGCTGCTGTCGTCGTCGTTCCTGCGAGCGAACAGCAGCAGCAGCAGTAGCAACTGCAGCAGAAGGGGATGCAGCAGCAAGAGACCTTGCTGCAGCAGCAGCGGCAGCACCATCGACTGCTGCAGGGCCTGTGCTGCCACTGCCGTTTCGTTTGCCTTCCGTGCTGCAACTATAGCGGAGCCCGCAAAAGACGCTGGAGCAGCAGCAGCAGCGGCAGCAGCGGCAGCAGCACCTGCTCGGCCTTCCACCGGTCTGCAGCAGCTCGCAGCTTTGCTTCAGCGTCTCTTGAAGCAGCTGCAGCAGCCTGCGGGCTGCTGCCGATGGTGGGCAGCCCCTGCTGCAGCAGCGCGAAGGCCCGGCCTAAAGCTTCCTCCACCTGCAGCACCAGCAGCAGCAACAGCAGCAGCTGCTACTCAGGTGCTCCCGCATTAAGCTTCAGTAGAGACAGCAGCAGCGGGCTGAAGCAGCAGGGTGCTACAGCAGCAGCAGCGGCAGCACACGCGGCGCCGCGATAAAAAGAGCAACAAGCACCGAAAGAAGGCAGCAGCCGCAGCAGCAGCAGCATCAGCTGCTGCTGCTCCTTACGTCCTCCTCGCCGCTGCTGCTGCTTCTGTCTCGCAGCATTGTGGACAGGGCCTGCAGGTGGCTGCTGGCGGCGATGCGGCTAACGAGGGCCTCTCTGTCTTGAGCAGCAGCAGCAAAGAACTTCGCCCACTGCCGCAGCAGCAGCAGCTGGCTGCTGCAGCGTTTCCACAGCGCCTCCTCATCTGCTGCTGCTGCTGCTGCTGCTCCTACTGGGGCAGCAGCAGCAGCAGACCGCCGACACGCAGACAGCAGCTGGCAGAAGGCAGCAACGCGTCGCTCCATGAGAGCCTGCCACTCCTCGCTGCTGCTGAAGGTCTCCATGGTTTCTGCTGCTGCTGCTGCTGCTGAATTTGCTGCAGCTGCTGCTGCTGCTCGCACGCCCGAAAGGTGGGAGAAGAAGAGCCGCAAGCAGCTGTTTGCTGCTGCAGCAGACTCTGCTGACAGCGCAGCAGGAACTGCAGGCACTTGCTGCAGCAGCGCGACCAGCAAAGACAGCAGCTCCTGCGACAGCACCCCACCGGCCCCCAGCTGTTGCAGCCCTGCTGCTGCTGCTGCTGCTGCTCCGTCGTTGCTGCTGCTTCCCGTTGTTGCAGCACGTGCCCGCTTGGCGGGAGGCGGTTGCTCCTCCTCTGGCAGCAGCTCTCTCTGCTGCTGTGAAGGCCTCTCGTTCTCAGCATCGTCTTGCTGTTGCTGCTGCTGCTGCTTTGATGCAGCACCGCTCGGAAGTTGTGGGTCATCTTCTGACTGCTGCTGCATGCACTCATCCAGCAGCCCCGAGAGCGCATGGAGCAGATCTTGCTGCTGCTGTTGCTGCAGCAGCTGCCCTTCTTTCAGCGCTGCTATCGCTTCTGCTGCGGTGTAGCCGCTGCGGAGCAGCCGCAGCAGCAGCAGCCGACAGGCAGCAACCCCGGAGGGGCTGTGAGTTGCTGCCTTGTCTTTCATGCTGGCAGGGGGAGGGCTCCTTGCTGCTGCAGCGGCAGCGGTCGGAAGCAGCAGCTGCTGCAGCAGGAGCACCAGCAGCCGCTAGGTGTTAGTGCTGCAGCAGCAGCGGCAGCAGATGCTGCTGCTGCTGCTGCTGGCTGGGCTGCTGGCTGCTGGTCCCTTCTGCTGCTCCTGTTGTAGGGCTCCGCAGAGGGTGAGGGGTGGAGGCGCTGCCGACAACCGTGCTGCTGCTGCTGCTGCGGCGGCGGTTGTGGCTGCCGGTGCTTCTGCTGCTTCCCCTGCTGCAGCCAAATCTGTGTTGCAGCAGCAAAACACCTTGAAGCCCCTGGAGGCCACAGCGGAAGGCGAGCCCCGCTGTGGAGAGGCGGGAGAGCGTGGGCGGTCGCACCGCTGCTGCTGCTGCCGCTGCCGCTGCTGCTGCTGTGTTGCACTGAAACAGAGTAATGAGCAAGGAAACTGATGAAGAAAAGAGACAGAGCGTCCCGTTGCTTCGCCACGGAAGGCGCTGTGGCCCCAGGGTGGTGGGGTCGGTGGGGCGGCTCTCCCAGTCGCTACCGCTGCTGCTGCTGCTGCTGCTGCTGCTGCTGACGCGTGCACAAGCCCACAAGAGTTAGCGGCTTAAAATAATAACCACCAACTTGAAGGCAGTCTCTTTTTTGAATCCTTTGCTGTTGATGCTGCTGCGGCTGGCTATGGGTCACTACACGCCGAGATTCTTCGCTGCTGCTTCTGCGACTGGAGCAGCTGCAGCAGCTGCTGCCTCATCAGCCGGTGCGCCCGCGTGTCTTTGGGATCCAATTGCTAGCCTGATGACTATTTAGATCCTCTGTTATTTAAAGAGCAGAAGCCACTGCAGTTCCATTTAGATGTTTTTTAGGTTGTTACATCAGGTAATTGGGCAGCAAATGCAGCAGCAGGAGCAGCAGCCCAGAGGCTTCTGCAGCTTCTGCTGCTGCTGCTCCAGATGCTTGGCTGGCTGGCTGTCTGTCTGACCTGCTGCTGCTCACCCGCAAGTGTCTTTTTGCTTCTTCGCGCCTAAAGTTTAATTTTTGTCAATTTGCTTCTGGGGATCGCTGGTTCGGTTAAGGCTCAGCAGCAGCGGCAGCAGCAGCAGCAGCAGCAGCAGTAGCTGGTCGAGCAGGGCCACAGCGGCCAGAGCTGCGGCCGACCGCTGTGCCCCCCGCACAGCCCGCACTTGTTCGCCTGGAATTCTGCTGCTGCAGAAGCATCTGAGGGCAGCAGCAGCAATGGAGGATCTAGGCGCAGCAGCAGCAGCAGCAGCCGCTGCCGCTGCTGCGGGGGCAGCAGCGGACGCTGACTCAATGCCTGCTGCTGGCGGGGGCTTCTTGTGCCTTGTGTGCCGCTGGCTGCTGCTGCTGCTGCTGCTGTGGCTGGTAGTTTGTACACTTCACACCTTTTATGCTGCAGCAGCACTCCGCTGGGTCCGTGCTGCAGCAGCGGGATGGGATCGCCTCACGCTGCAGCAGCAGCAGCAATTCGCTCCCTTCAAGCGCTCCGACTGGCACCGCCTGTCCACTCCCAAGATTCTGCTGGGAGCCTTCTTCCTCGTAGGCACCGCTCAAGGGTTTAGGGTTTAGGGTTTAGGGTTTGGGCTTTGGCTTGCTCCCGGGGGCTAGGGTTTAGGGTTTAGGGTTTTGAGCTTGTGGGACAAGAGGAGCCATCTGTGGATCTGGCTTTTTTATTCCCTTCTGTTGCGCCTCCTGCTGCTGTATTGTTGCTGCTGCTTTAGTGTTGCTGCTGCTTTAATGCTGCTGCTGCTTTAGTGCTGCTACTGCATTGGAGCTGCTGCTGCTTTTGTGCTGCTGCTGCTGCTAATGCCTCAGTGCAGCTGCTCCAGTGCTGCTGCTGCTGTAGTGTTCCTGCTGCTTGTGTGCTGCAGCACTTTCTTGTTGCTGCAGTTGCTGCTTGAGTGCTGCTGCTGCTTTTGTAATGCTGCTACTTATAGTACTGCTCCCTTTCCTGCTACTGCTTGTGCTGCTGCTGCTTCCGGTTCTTCTTCTTCTGCTGCTTCTGCGTATAGTCCTGCTGCTGTTGCTGCTGCTGCTGCAGGCACCTCTCCGATTTTTCCTGTGCGTGGGCGCCATGGCGCTGCACAACATGTGCATCCGTGAGCTGAGATGCAGCAAAAGCAGCAGCAGCAGCAGCAGCAGCTGTAGATGCTGCAGCAGCAGCAGATGCTGCAGCGGAAGTAGCAGCAGTAGTTGCTGTAGCGTCGGTAGATGCAGCAGCAAGAAGTGCTGCAGCAGCAGCAGCAGCTGACGTCGCAGCAGCAGTAGATGCCGCAGCAGCAGTGGATGCTGCCGCATTTGCGGCAGCCGCCGCAGCAGCAACGCCTAATGGCTGCTGCCTGAATGGTGCTGCGGAGGCAGCACCATTAAAGCAGAGGCAGCAGCAGCAGCAGCAGCAGCAGCGGCAGCAGCAGCAGCTGGGCACGAGAGTGTCTGCTGTTTGTTCAGGCGCTGTGGCTCTTTGCTTTGGCACTGAAGAAAAGCTAAAAAAGGACCAGCTGCTGAGGAGACGGTGAGCGCTGCTGCTGCT